ATTCTGGGTTTTCAGGATTTTGGTTTAGACTTTTTCAGATTCCTTGGGTAATGGAGAGAATTTTACGGCAAGGTCGAGCGAGTGGACTCGGAAGCTGTGCGAACGGTCGGCTTTGGTCGATGGCGGCTTAGGTTTCCTATGAGGCATCAGACACGTCCATTTGGCAATGACGGTGCCGCATTGATCTTGCATAGCTGCTGTGTAATTGTGAACCGATATTGTGACGGTGTTTAATTGATTTGCAGGAGAGCGGCAGTTAATTAGTCTTAATGTTTGTTTCCTCAATTTAATCCTGTGTGATGCATGAGAGACTCCTGATATGAAAATTTGTGTCATTTGGGAAAGCGCGAGCGAGGTCTTCCATTTCGGTGTTCATTTCGACAGCAAAAGAAGTTCGCGCGCTAAATTAGTAGGAACTCAGGGTTAACATTCAGCTCGAGGTGAATGGCGTAATACATCTTTTAGGAAGACGCGAGCCCGGGACAGTTGCAGGCGACATTTGCATCGAACCTAGTAAGACTATTTTAGCAGAGAAAGCCGACCATTAGATACACACAGCGCGGTAGGAGGGCAGCAGTCTATAGTGCGTGTACACACTAATTATCAACAGACCCATTGTTACTTCTTTTGTGAGTGGTTTTATGGATTTAGACAGCTTGTTACAGGGGATTCAACTTAATAATTGAAACTGACGGTTAATTCGTAAATTACCCCCAACATCCAACGCCCATTTTACTTGCTGGGGCACCTACATCAGTGGCAACGCCGGTCTGCTCACCAGGTTCCCACTATCAGATGACTGAGTGTCACCACTTTCTTACTGTTTCGAGCTCTGTATTGAGTATTACTAGCGTTATTTATTATTATTTTGGTAATTGGACATGAATTATTATTATTACAAATATTACCTCATATTCATGAGGAAGTTGGATAATTTAAATTTAAAATAAAGCATTGCTATTATTAATCTCCTTACTCCTATACCATTGGGCTCAGTATAACCATTAGGTTCCGTGTATTCTGGGTATATATATTGATATCCCGTATGAATGGTTACCCACCATACACATCAGGATTCATACGCAGAAGGGTTATACCCTAAAATAATCTCCTAGACAAATTTATAAGTTGTTATGTTTAGTTATAATATCTTTATGTGTCTAATTATAATAGTCAATATATGCTAATTAATTTATATACTATATGGGGTATCGTTTCTGGTTATTAGGTCACCTTGTAAGATATGGGCTTCAACAGTTTAAGGTGATAATCCCGGCTTCGGGTTATTATAGAGTGCTGTTATATATAGGTATAAATTGCTCCTCGCAGGAACTCTCTCTCTCGGTGTCTATTTTTGCGGGCAAGGATACCGTCATTGAGCCGAGTGATGACACAGGATGTACTCACCACATTTTGATGCCCTAGAATAAAGAGAATGCCGCATTGTAGCCGAGGTTTTTACACGCGAGGTCTGTGTACGTGATGCCCCAACGCGACCTTGTGCACACGTTCTTGCTGAGGCGCGAGTATTCATTGTTATTAGCAGGCAAAAACGTGCGAGCAGAGCGAGATATAATGGACGCAGACGGTTGGAAGAAGCAGGATGTGGACTGTCGCAAGCGCGTCTACTAATTCCGAACTCCCACATCGACAGGAAAAATCTACGCTCGCCAAAGGCGACAGTACCAGAATGAATCCGTAATGGCCAGACTTGGCCAGAGGAAAGAGACACCCAAAGAAGCGTTAGCCTCAAAAGTCGGTCCACGGCCCATGGTATGTATATAGATGTCTATAAAAGTGTGCGGTGGTTCGGTGGCGTGCGGTTCGGAAGGAATGGCGTTGGCGTGTGTGGCGTGCGTGGGGGGCGGGTAGACAAGCAAATGGGGCGTGCGTCGTTAGTGATGCGTGCGTGCGTGCAACACTCATGCATGTGCTGAAATCTCCACGCTCTTCTCAATTTTCACGCACACTATGTGGCTTTTCTTTACTCATTCTCTCTCTCGTCTCTCTCTCTCTCTCTCTCTCTCTCTCTCTCTCTCTCTCTCTCTCTCTCTCTTTCTCTCTCTCTCGTCTCTTTCTCTCACACACACACACATACACACACACACCCACACACACACACACAGCACACACACACACACAGTCACACACGACACCACACACACACACACACACACACACACACACACACACAACACACACTCATCTCTTCTCCCCCCTCTCTCTCTCTCTTTCTCTCTATCTCTGTCTCTCGCTATCTATCTCTCTCTCTCCCTCTCTCTTTCTCTCTCTCTCTCTCTCTCTCTCTCTCTCTCTCTCGCTTTCTCTCTATCTCCCGCTCTCTCCCTCCTGCTCTCCCTCCCTTTCTCACTTTCCTTTTTTCTTTCTGAGATACAGAGGAACAGAGATATATAAGCGTCTACGTCAACAGTACGTGTACGTAATGCAAGCTGCCCTTAGAGAAAGAAGACCGTGTGATTGCATGTTGCTAACATGCAAGGATTCTCATATCTTACGACACGTGCATTTTATGATTTGCAGACGAGGATAAACCGGACACTGGCTCTCTGAAGAAGCAGCATCACGCACCAGAGTACCTGGAGAAACAGCGCAAGGCAATACGCAGGAGATCTGATGGCGCTCAGCAGAAAAAGCAGGCCAAGAAAAGTAAGGGAGACGATAGTCAGTTCTCTGATTCGTTCGGTGTTGATACGTTGTACATATTTCTTATATATATGAATTGAAAATGAGTATCGTTTTAATTATTTCTAATGATTACATGTGGAAGATGGAGCATTTGTCATTACTGGTGTATGTACTACTGTATGTGTTACTGGTGTATGTGTTACTGGTGTATGGTAGATTCCTGGAATTTATCTTACATATATATACTACTATAGATATATCTACACTGCTGAGTAAGCAATTAAGTGATTTATGTAAAATTCAAAAAAGTGCATCTTACGTTTTTACTATTCTGCTACGATTGAAACGTTTCCCATAAGTGAAAAGGCAGTGTCTCTAGAATCTGCTAGGAGTATATAGTAGAAGTAAAAAACAGGTAAATACTAACTATAATTTTTCGTGAGACATATGCATGCACTGACTACTGCATGCATTCTTTTTCAAATGTTCGGACACATCAACAACGTTTTATTGGTGTGTTCAGATTTACTAACTTGCGAGACATATAAAGACATAAATTCTACCATACTGCACGCATTCTCATTCAAATATTCAGACATAAAAATTGTTTTGTTGGCGTGTTCAGGATTCTTTGATTTACTAACAAGCCTCTTCGTAGACATATAAAGACATAAATGCTACCATACTGTACGCATTCTCATTCAAATATTCAGACATAAAAATCACAGTCGTTTCGTTGGGCATGTTCATACTTCCTTGATTTACTAACAAACGATTGCACTTTGCAGGTCTGCAGAAACGAGAAAGTGCGAAGAACAGTCCTTCTTTTACCGACACGCCCATCAGGAGTCCGCCAACCGAGAAGAGCACAGCGACGCCGACAAGAAAAGACAAGCGAAAACCTCGGTCGAGTAGCGCCGGCTCCTCAATAGGCGGCGCCACCGGCGTCAGCAGGAAGCCTCCGCGCGGCGAGAGCGCGGGGAATTCCCGCTTCTACCGTTCCAGCGCCCCCTCCAATCCCCGCGGCGACGCAGCAAACCGCTTCCGGAATTCCTCGTCCATCGAGAAGAACCCGCACTTCTTCGCAAGCCTCGGCGACGATCCTGCGTGGTCGCCCGCGGCAACGGACAACGCGTTCGGCAGCGAGGCATCCCCTGCGAACACGCGCGGCACGGCGCGCGTGATACGCCTCGTTCCGGGCGAGGCGTCACCCGAAGCCTGGTCGCCCTCGCGACGATCGAAGAGTTTCCGGACCGCGATAGAGCAGCAGGAGCGCCCGCACCTCCCGCCTCCGATCCCCGACCATTCCCGCGGCGGCGTTCCTCCGCAGTCCGGAGGACAGAACTGGAACAACAACAATCAGCAGCGGCCGCACTCTTCTCCGCTCCATGTTCTCGGTCTGCCGCCGCCGCCGTTGTGTCGCCGCGGCGACGCGAAGCTCTACGACAACATCCCGGCGAGAAGCGTTTCGCTGCCCGCTCCCGCGACGCTCCGCGCAGCGTACGTGGCGAGGACGACCGTCGCCGCCGACGACGGCCCCATATACGACGAGGTGTACGAGGAGGCGCCCCCTGGCGGGAGTCGACGCGACGCGAACGCGGCGCCGTCGTTCGACTGCCGACTCGGCGACGCGAGACCCTTTGTTCGTCGGCGCGCCTCCGCCTCCGCCGCCGCTGCCGCCGAATGTAGGTGGAGCCAGCGTCGCGGCTCGCTGCCGAACAACCTGAGCGGGGCTCGCTTCGTCAACGGCGGAGTCACGCTCGCGCGCAGCCACTCTGAGCGGCGCGGCGGCGGCGCGACGCACAGCGCCGAGATCACGGACAGCATCATACGCGACATGATCGCGTGGAACGCCGCGGCGGCGCGCGCCGACGTCGCCGCCGCGCGCTCCCGCCCGCTCCGCTTCCCCGTCGGGAGAACGGCTCCTCCCCGGAGAGGAGGCAAGGAGGAGGAGGTGGACCCGGCATGCTCGCTCGACGCCGTCCCCCCGCCGCCGCCGCCGGCGCGAACGCGCGACGAGCATCTCTACGAGACCGTCGACGTCGACGACCCGCCGGTGGCGCCCCCTCCCGGGATGATCGCCTCCATCAAGCACGTCCTCGGTAACATCGGGAACCGGGTGCGCGGCGGCGGCGGGCGGGAGGAGCGGGCGAGCGAGGGCGGCGCGGAGGAGGCGGCGCGTGTGTGTGCCTGCGTTCGTGCGTGCGTGCGTGCGTGCGTGCGTGCGTGCGTGCGTGCCTGTCTGCCTGCCTGCGTGTTAGCGTGCGTGCGTGCGTGCGTGCGTGCGTGCGTGCGTGCGTGCATGTCATGTTTCTGTCGCCTCTGATGGTTGTTAACATCTGCATTCGTTGCAGCGAACTGCTCAAGGACTTGGAAACTCACAGCGACGATGCTGTAGAGATAGCCAAGTGTTTCCCACGCCACACACATGGCTTCACTGACATCTACACAGAGTACTGCACCAGCTATCCTAAGTAAGTTGTTGTGTAAGTGTGTGTAAGTTGTTGTTGTGTAAGTTCTTGTTGTTGTAAGTTGTTGCAAGTGTTTCCCACGCCACAGACATGGTTTCACTGACATCTACACAGAGTACTGCACCAGCTATCCCAAGTAAGTTAGTTGTTGGGCCTGTATATATAGCAGTAAGGGAGCGATCACTGTGTATGTAGAACAGAGAATCAAGTTTAGTAAACAACCCGTATGAGGGCGCATGCGAAAAAAATAAAACAAGTCAGTTGTTGGGCCCGTATTTGCAGTAGAGGAGCGACCACCGTGTATTATATAGGATACAGACTTGTCAACGTTAATGTTAAGACCAATGTTCAGACTAATTTTGTTTCTGACAACGGGCCTCAGAAGTCTAGTAAACAACCAGTTAAGGGAACATGCGCAAAAAAAAATTACGTTTCTATATTTAACGTGTGTACGGTTTCTCAGTTTACGCGGTAATTTCTTGGCGTGTTAAACGAAAAGAAATGTTGCCGTGCGTTGACAGTACATAATCTCGCCATGACATCCGCCACCACTTAAAATTTTTTTGAGAGAAGGTCACCACCATGTTTAACGACAGACGCGAGGCGACGCAGCTGCTGTTTTGGCGGGAAACGCGCGGGGAAGCGTCGCCGTTAATTCGTGCCTGGAATTAACGAACAATTAACTCGTGCCAGGAATATTAACGAACAATTAACTTGTGCCTGGAACTATCGCGGAATTAAATCGTGCCTGGAATTGATGAACAATTAACTCGTGCCTGGAAACGACGGTTTAACTCGTGCCTTGAACTAACGAACAGTTAACTCGTGCCTGGAACTAACGAACAGTTAACTCGTACCTGGAATTAACGAACAGTTAACTCGTGCCTGGAATTAACGAGCAATAAACTCGTGCCTGGAATTAATGAGGAATTAACTCGTGCCTGGAATTAACGAGGAATTAACTCGTGCCTGGAATTAACGAGGAATTAACTCGTGCTCCTGGAATTAACGAGGAATTAACTCGTGCCTGGAATTAACGAGGAATTAACTCGTGCTTGGAATTAACGAGGAATTAACTCGTGCCTGGAATTAATGAGGAATTAACTCGTGCCTGGAATTAATGAGGAATTAACTCGTGCCTGAAATTAACGAAGAATAAACTCGTGCCTTGAACTAACGAACAGTTAACTCGTGCCTGGAATTAACGCGGAATAAACTCATGCCTGGGACTAACGACGAATTAACTCGTGCCTGGAATTAACACGGAATAAACTCGTCCCTGGAATTAACACGGAATAAACTCGTCCCTGGAATTAACGCGGAATATATGCCTTTCCCTGCTTTTTGGTAATTTTTGTGATTTTCCCTCCCCAGGTCGATGGAGGTGCTGACAAAGTGCATGAACCGGAAGGGGTCGGGTAACTTCTTCCGCAATCGACAGACGCTCCTCAACCACGGCCTCCCGCTCGGCTCCTACCTGCTGAAGCCAGTTCAGAGGATCCTCAAATACCACCTGCTGCTGAAGGTATAATTGCAGCGGTCACGGCTCATGGTGTTCGTGCGCGAGAGCAGTTTTCGCGAGTTCGTTATGTGTTTACGACCCAAGTTTTATATCAGTTGTTATTAACGGTCGTCAATCGATTATTCATGAATTATGAGTGTGGGGAACTTGTTCGGGCGTTTTATTTGATCGTCGTGCCGGTTCCTGAACGTCCGCTGACAGGAACGATGGCAGCTCGTTACAATCTCACGATAACGTCGAATAAATTCACACTCAACGTTTTACGAATAATCATTTCATTGATATAATAGCTGGTCTAATAATGGCTGATATATAACTTGGGTCATAGACTGAGTGCGAATTTGTTCGGCGTTTTATATCATTGAATTGCCGGCGGTTTGCGGTTGCTCGTTTACGTTATACAATAGCTTTATATACGTTACAGCATATTATACGTACGTTAGCAATATACGAACATTTTTATATATATTACAGAGCATGCTAAAGGGTTACGAGGGTGAGGAGGAGGGACGAGTGGCGATCAGCGAGGGTCTGGCTCTGATGGAGAGTATAGGTCTGCACATCAACGAGATGAAGAAGAAGCACGAGCACGCAGTCAGAGTGCAGGAGATACAGAGCCTGCTGCACAACTGGAGGGTAAGTCGGCGAGAGGGCGATGTCCTGGGGTGACGCGTGTGCAGGCAGGTGAGGCCTACCCTAAGGTAGAGCTAGGAAGGACGCAGGTCAGTGAGAGAGCGATGTTGCGTTCATACGGCTGCGACGTATGGGGGATGGGGGCTACCCTCGGTATCAGTGTAATAAACACATGAATAAAAATGTGTGTTTATGTAGTGTGTTTTCTGTGGGTAAGTTAGAAAGAGAGCGATCTTCCGGGGTGACACACGTGTGCGGGCAGGTTGGTCCTACCGTCGGTAATGGCAGTGAATAAAAATACGTAAAGGTAGAGGAAGTAAAAGTAAGTTAGAGAGAGTGAAGTCCCGGGGCGTTTCGCATCGTCGCGCATAGGGGGTAGGCTACCCTCGGTGTCGGTGTAATCAACACACGAATAAAAGTGTGTTTTATGATTAACTTGTTGAAAAACTTGAAGTTAAACTTTAACTTTTTGTTTTATAAACGGAAGACGTTCGTTTTTTGTACAATCCTGTTGATGTCTCGCCGCTGTTTTTGATTCGGAATGAAGTCGCTTCATTGCGCAGCATCGATCGGCATTTCCTGTTGCCGTGCATATTACAGCATTCCCTCTGCGCGAGTGCTTCGGGGATTCACTCATTCGAAGCTCTTAATATAGCATAGATAGCTGGCAGTTCATCCACCCCTTTAGATTTAGCACACACCAGCTTTACTCTATTAAGCCGTGCAATTTTGTTTTTTTACAGGGCGATGATCTAACAACTTATGGGGAACTAGTGATCGAGGTAAGAACCCGTGCTGCCATCTAGTGTTTCGTTTTCGCTCGAACCAAGTATAGTGATTGGTGATGGATTCAAGTAGATTCAAGATTGGTATTCAAGTAGATACAATAATGTAACACAACAAGCGTAGAGTACCCTCTACTGTTTTATACCCCTACATTTTTGTATCTAGTCTTCATGCTGAAAAAACAGCGTTCAACCTGCTTGTAAATGTGTGCTCATCATGTACACACGCAACGTGAGATTTATGTTGAAAGCGGTTGCCAGTTGCGCTAATTGTCATTTATGATTTTTATTTACATGTGATTTATTATTATTATTATTTATGACAGGGAGAGTTCAGGATAGCAGGAGCGAAGGGTCTGAGGCAGTTGTTCCTGTTTGACAGCATGCTGATAATCACGAAGCGGCGAGCGGATGGTACATACGCGTGCAAGACCTTTATTGAGGTGAGCCGCACGCCTTAAATATACATTCAGCTCATTACAGTCAGTGACTGAAATACACATTAGAGTAATTATAGCCAGTGACTGAAGCTCTGTGCGTGCGTTTCATGAGGTAAAGACTGTACAGTGCCATAGAATTGTCTGTGTAATTGAGTTCTATGTTTTTACCGTGATGTAGAGACACATATTTTCTTTTCTCAAATTCCACATGTTACTGAAATGTGTTATGGCTAATATCAGTCTTAGCTGAGGGCCAAAGGCCACAGTTAAAAAAATTACAACTTAGTTTGAAAAGGTCAAAGTTCCTAAAATCTCTGTATGACGCGTTTTGATTTCATGCATGTCCTGTGCTGTGTGTTTCCAAAAGGAGTAAGTATGAAAACCAGATCTGTCTTTATCGTGCGCTTAAATAAGTTGGCCATGATCTCTTTATCGTGCGCTTGAGGCTTATGCAGCCAGGCTTTCTGATCATCTAAATTAACACGGCAATTAACACGGTAATTAGTCAAAACATTAGAGACGTTTAGAGACTCATTTGCCTGCACGACTTCTATTAACCTGTGAATTAGGAACTACTTATTACTTGTTGTAACATATTATATAATATATATATATATTATATATATTTAAATCTTTTTAATGTGAAGGTATAGTCGGTTTCGTACCTTCCCTCCCTATCATTTGAATCGGAACAGAGTTTAAAAGATTTGGTGATTCTGTTCTTGATCACTCCCAATAATAGCTTACCCATAAAAACATATTCTGTTCAGATTGTTCAGATCCTGTTTATGAAATACGCCTTGTCGTTGTATCGGTCATTAGGATATGCATGTTAATTGCCATATTGCGTGTTTGATTTTGCAGTGTTCCAACTTGATGCTGATAGAGAGCATTGATGGAGAGCCATGCAGTTTCCACGTCATTCCATTCGACAGCCCAAAGTGCCAGTACACAGTGCAGGTAAGGATGCTTCACTGAGTGGGTAGTGGGGACAACAGCCAACATACAAGCCACCATAATACACACGCGCGTATACACATACACACGCCATGCATCTTGTGTTGTAACAGCTAGCGGGGCGTACTGCCGGGCATAGGGCAGGGCTGGGCATAGCAGGGGTGTAATTGGATTGATATAGCAAATACCATCAGGAGTGAATAAGTATATCATCTAGTTATTATTTACTCCGATACCATATTACCTATATCCTATATATATATATACCATGACCTAACATATTCACGATACCTATAATACCAATTGTATGTTGATACTATGCTAATAAAAGTATAGGTTCAATATATAGTTATATATCAGTTGTATATATGGGGCTTCGAACGTGTATTAATTATGTTTAGGTATAAATTGCCAGAATTTTTGTTCTTTTGGTTTGACCGAGTGAATGACACAGGATTGTACTCACCATATTTTGGATGCACTAGAATAAAGAAGATGGCTATTT